CGCTATTTTTCAAATTACTTGCCTTTTTAATCAGATTAATGACTTGAGTCTCGTTCTGTAAGACCACCTTGACTTTTCTGTTTTTCCCGGCGCCAAATTGTCCCAGTCTAATTACTGGTGCATTTTGTCGCTGGAAATGATGATCCACCACTCTGAAAATTTTCCCTACTATGCAAAGAAGAGTCGTGCGTTCACTGTTAGGTCTGAGCAGAAGGACCAGCTGCAGAGATTCTTTCAAGCGGCTGGGAATATTAACTTTACCATCAATATATATCTTTGAACTGTTGACAAATGTGAAATCTAACCTAGCTGAGTTTCCAAAATTGAATGATCATAATAAGTACTTGACTAGCAATTCGCTTGTCCTGCATATTCCTGCTCATAGGCTGTTAAGAACAGAGGCCAGCCCAAATTAAATGGGTATTAGGCTGTTCAATAAATTGCCAAACACCTTTAAAACTTTGCCAATGCCATTATTCAGACATAAACTCAAAGCTCTATTAAGACACAGAGCGTACTATTCTTTGGACGAATATTTCTTAGATATCCAGCTAGATCAAGATGCCTAACTATACCAGCTCTGTGTTAGTCCCATATACATTTTTTACTGTAGCATGTTATTTCTGGTTCTTGTATTTTATTTATTATTTTAACTTTGCCGATTTATTTTAATATGTACCTGTTGTATTTTTGTTCATTGTTTTTCTGACTGTCATATATTTAATATGTGTTTTGTTTTTGTTTTTATTTATCTATTTTTGTAATGCTTGTCTTAGTTTCAAGATAGAGTACCTTGACCTGTTCTATGTCATGACAAATGATCTACAGAACAAATGAAGATTATTATTATTATAGTTATGATGCAGAAAAGGATGCACGTGGAAGAAGAAAATGCTTAGGAAAGCATCCTTACCGAGATGATAAATAGATATTCTTGATGCTTTCCAGACCATTCATTACTCATTACTCGTTTTGTTCGCCTTATTGTACATCTATCCATTATAAAATATCAAGTATATTGTATTGTCTTGTAAAAGTAAAAATAAAGTTTTTTTAAAAACCCGAACGGCCATCTCGGCAACATAACTGGCGCAGTCAGCAGTAGGATAAAACGCAGTTTTCCGAAAATTCGCGGTATCGTGACCGGTTTCGTGAAAACGTGGGTATCGTCCCTTCGGCGTTCGACCTACAGAAACGAACGAGAATCCACAGCCCAAGAGCGAGAAGTTGGCCCCTTGCTTCTGCCTGCCGCCTTCCAAGAAGATAGGAGTAGAAGGTAAGAGCCAAAATTCCTTTTCGCCCCATTCAAATTGATTTCCCTGTATAGGAGATCTTATTTGAAAAGTTGTGATTTTATGTCATTATCAGACATTATCAACGAGTTAAATAACTTAAGAATTAATAATACTGATTCAGAATCAGAATATGAAGAAATGGCATTCCCAGAAAATAGCTTACAAATGTTACGCATGTTTGTAGATACAATACCAAATTTTGATGGTAATTTCAATACACTACCAAGCTTCATTTCATCATGTGATTATCTATTCGACACATTCAACACTTCTGAAGAAACGATTAAGAGATACTTATTGAGAGTGGTACAGACTAAATTAGTTGGTAAGGCTCAACTTTTAGTTGCCTGTAGAACAGAATTAAATAGCTGGTCTTTAATAAAAAATGCTTTAGAACAGTGTTTTGGTGATAATAGAAGTTTAGAATGCTTGGAACAAGATCTATTTCTGGCCTCACCAAATAGAAATGAGTCACCCTTAGATTTTGGAAAAAGACTTCAAATTTTAAGGAGTACTCTTGCACAGAAATTGAGTATTTCAGACTCAACGCCCGAAGTAAAAGTCGCAATGATGAAGCAGTACGACGGTATCTGTTTGAGAGCATTTGTGCGCGGATTATCAGGACCTTTACAAACGGTTATTCGTTTGAAAAATCCTTCATCTCTAGAAGAAGCAATGGCATATTATTGAGGAAGAAAATTTCCAGTATACGCAAAACATTTTCAAATTCCCAAATCACTCAAAGACTCTATGTAGTAACACACAAAATTCATATTCCAAACCACAGACAAAGTTTGGACATTCAAATAACAATTACCGTAATCAGGCACCAAATCAGAATTTTCATTATCAAAAATTTCAAGCTCCTCATCAGTCCAATTTTCAACAAAGTTATCGACCCCCACAAACTTTTCCAGCTGACAGAAACCGGAATAATTTCCCAAGTCAGCCGATAAACATCCAAAGTCGAAATAATAATTTTCAAAAACGCTATCCAACAAATCAAGAAGTTTTCGGACCACCCAGAAACACGAACGTCTTCAAGCCCAGGGGAACAGTACCGCATAATTCCCCACAGCCTATGTCAGTTTCAACCACAAATACTTATAAACCGAACTATCCCCAAAGGCAAAATCATTTCCAGCCCTCGGGACCCAGAAATTTCATTGCGGAAGAACTATATCAAATAGATGACACTCAAAACGACGAAAGACGAAAGATACGAAACCGAACAACCCGAAAGAACCAGAAATCGAAAACCATTTTCAAAAACTCAAAATGTTGAAGCTCAACATGCTTTTGCCTCTTCGTCCACAAATTATGAATCAGATGCAAATTTTTATTACAAGGGCCAAGGCACCCACAAAACAATCGAAATCCATTCCGATCTTGACAACTCTTTACCCTACATCAAAATTCAAAATCCACCCTTAAAGTTACTCATTGACACAGGATGTTCACATTCGATGATACGCCCTAGAATAGTAGAAAAATACTTTCCAGAACGTATTTACCATTTAGTTTCAAGATTAAAGACAGGCGTAGGAGAAAAAGAAGTTCAATTTAAAGCCGATCTGCCATCATTCTCAGAATTTGAATCAGATGATTTTATCACTTTCATTTTATTTGATTTCCATCCATTTTTTGACGGCATATTAGGATTAAAACAATTACTACGTTTAAATCTCAACATAGACCTTACTAATCGACATTTAATTAGTGAGTCATTGCGTATTCCCATATTTTTCCGTGAACTTGACACTGAACCATATAGCATAACGATAAATGCACACGAGGTAGCTCTTATCAAAGTTCCTGTGAGCATTAACAATAGCCCCGTTATAATCCCTGAAGGTGAAATAAATGGCTTATATTTCCCTGAGACCTTGACAACTTCGAATGAATGGTTTGCTTATACAGAAATTTATAACCATTCAGATGAACAAATAACGATAGATTTTTCAAATCCGTTAGACGTAATTGAATATTCTAAAGAAGTTAGTGATAACTTTTATATTTTTCATATTGAGGATATTATTGGTGAACTAAAACATAGTGACGAAAGCATACAGAAAGTATCGAAATTAATTAGGACTGATCATTTGAACTGTGAGGAAAAACAGACTTTATTAAAAGTTTGCCATGAGTTTAGGGATATATTTTACAATGAAAACAAAAGCTAACGTTCACTAATATTATTAAACATGAAATAAAAACTACTGATGAAATTCCAGTACATACAAAAAATTATCGTTATCCCTTTGTTCATAAAGAGGAAGTTCAAAGACAGATAAATAAAATGTTAGACGATGGAATTATACGTCCTAGTCAAAGTCCTTATAGCTCACCTATCTGGATCGTTAGTAATAAGATGGATGCTAGTGGGAAACAAAAATGGAGAATAGTAACAGATTTTCGAAAGCTGAACGAAAAAACAATAAGTGATCGATATCCATTACCTAATATTAACGATACATTGGACAAGTTAGGTAGATGTCAATACTTCAGTACTTTATATTTAGCTTCCGGATTTCATCAAATAGAGATGCATCCAAACTCTATCGAAAAAAACCGCTTTTAGTGTAGAACATGGACATTACGAGTATACCCGCTTACCATATGGTTTGAAAAATGCCCCAAGTACATTTCAGAGAGTAGTTGACAATGTTTTACAAGGATTACAAGGCAAAGTTTGTTTAGTATATATGGACGATATTATAATTTTTTCCACTAGTCTTGAAGAACATATTGCAAATTTGAAATTAGTATTTCGGAGACTAAGGGACACACAATTGAAAATTCAACCAGACAAATGTGAATTTTTATGCAAAGAAGTTGAATATTTAGGACACGTAGTTACTTGTAAAACCGAATCCCAAAAAGATACAAGCAATAACACAATTCCCAATTCCAAAAACAGTCAAAGAAATCAAATCGTTCCTAGGTCTTTTAGGTTATTATAGACGCTTTATCGAAAATTTTGCCAAATTAACAAAACCACTTACGAAATGTCTTAAGGAAGGATCAAAAATTGAACATAATGCAGAATTTATCAAAGCTTTTGAAACTTGCAAAAATATTCTAACCAACGAACCTATTTTACAATACCCAGATTTTGAAAAGTCTTTTATTTTGACTACTGATGCCTCAAATTACGCAATAGGTTGTATTCTTAGCCAAGGAAAAGTAGTACAGGATCGACCGATTGCCTATGCATCACGAACTTTAAATCCAGCAGAATGTAATTATAGCACAATAGAAAAAGAATTATTAGCAGTAGTATATGGTGTGAAATACTTCAAACCATATCTATGGGGACGTGAGCTTACCATAGTTAGCGACCACAAACCCCTCGAATATTTGTTTAACATGAAAGAACATAACCCCAGACTTTTACGTTGGAAACTGTTTCTTGAACAGTTCAATTACAAAATTCAATATAAACCTGGAAAAATAAAAAGCAATGTTGATGCTTTATCTCGCGTAGAACTTAACGCCATCCAAGATGAAACGGATCAATCAATAATTGAAGCGTGGTATTCCCAAAGGGTCTAAGTGCCAATATTTCTGAATTTCATATTTTTCCTCCAAAAGGATCTACATGCTTTAATGCATGCATTAGAAAAGGGTCCAAGTACATATCCGACGAAAATGTATTTAATCTCCCCATTTGATAGATGGCGTTCTCGTACTCGCTCGTGACTTGTTCATTGAGAAGGGTCTAAGCGCCGAGTACAGGCGTAATATTATTACGTGCATTTAATAATAAACAATGAGTGAAAATCAAGTAAACAACCCAAAGCGACGTGCCCCAGGGTCTGAAAATAAAAAGAATGAAATGAAACGACTGAAATATAGTGGTCTGGCATATCACAATCGAAGTAACAAGGATATTGCTGCTAAGAAGGCGCCAAGTTTTGAGGTTAGTTGTGTTTATTTCTATTGTTTTAGTCAACAAAAGTAAATAAGTTTGTTTTATTCCAGGTATTTTGTAAATGTAAATATGAGTGCAGAAAATTGCCCTATGAGCAAAAAATATTTTTATTTGAAGATTATTATAAAATAGCTAATCATGTGAAGCAAAAATCTTATCTGTTGGGACTCATACAAATTGGCAGTGTAAAAAGAAGACGTCACGGAAAATATGAATCTGCAGAACAAAGTCGTCGACAAGCTACTGCATGGTACACGGTTCCAAACGGAAATGGCCAGCATGTGCAGGTTTGCCGTCAAACATTTCCAAACATTTTTGCCCTATCACACAAGGCAGTGCAAGTTTTAACAGAAAAAAAAAGTTGGGAGAAACAGTGTATACAGATAAAAGAGGCAAGTCAAATGAACCAAGAAAGTATACAACAGCGATAAGAGACCAGGTTAGAGAACACGTACAAAGTTTTCCTTGCGAAGAGAATCATTATAGCAGAAGCAAATCACAAAAGAAATTTCTGAGTCCAGATTTGAATATAAATCGCCTATACTTGGCATTTAAAAGACAGTTTCCCGATACAGAGGTTACTTTAAGTACTACTTGACAGTATTTAAAAAGGATTTTCCGCATTTATGATTCGGTCGCCCCAGAACGGACACCTGCTCAGTTTGCGATCTTTACAAAAATAAAATAAGTTATGCCCAAAATCAAACAGAAAAGGATGAGATGAAAGCCAAACTTGACCTACACCACAGAAAGGCGGAAAAGGATAGACTAGAAATGGAAAAAGACGGTAATTTGTCACAAATCCCGACGGCCAGCATTAGCATGATGTCTATAGATTTAGAGCAAGTTTTATTTTTGCCAACACTTACACATACGCAGATGTTTTATAGCAGACAGCTTTCGTGCTATAATCTAGGAATACACATATCTGATACTGGAACTGCTCATATGTGTCTTTGGGACGAATCCATAACAGGTAGAGGAGCTAATGAAATTGGATCTGCCCTTTTAAAGTGCCTTAACTTGCCAGCTTTGAATATGAAAAAAAACTTAGTGATTTGGTCGGATAATTGCATAGGACAGAACAAAAACAAAATGATGCTTTTTTTGTTCATATATTTGGTCCATAATGGAAAGTTTGAAAAAATTGAACAGAAATTTTTAGTTTCCGGGCATTCCTATTTGGCATGTGATAGGGACTTTGCGCAGATTGAGCGTCGTAAAAGAGTCACAAAAAACTACGTACCGGATCATCTTGAAAAAATGATTAGGAGTGCACAACAAAAAATCCATTCAATGTCATTCGTATGAATAGAGAAGATTTTAAAAATCTTCAAGAGATTTCCGATAGCTTTTTAAACACGACCAAACTGAATATATCCAAAGCTTGTTGGATAGAAGTTTCTAAGAAAAATCCAACTTTAGTCAGAACAAAAACAACGTTTAACGAAATGGAAGAATGGACCTCTTGTAACGTTTTAAAACGAGGCAAAACTTTGAGTGACCTTAAAACAACACCGTTGCCACAGTTAGATTGCAAAAACCCCATATCTCAGGAAAAGGCCAAAAATTTAGAAGACATGTTAGATTACATACCACTTGCATATATCTCATTTTATACCGGTATCATCGAAAAAACCAAGCAAAACAATCCAGAGTAAACATTTTGAATGGAATTACTGGTTTCACATAGACCCTTTTACAATGACACGATGCATTAGACATAGGACCTTCTAAAAATTTAATATTTTATTTTGTGTTCCAAAATATATTTCGTTTATTTTTGCTACCTTTTCTCGTAAAATGTTAAATAACCTGATGTTTTAATCGAATAAATTTACTTTCATATTTTTTTGTTTTATTTGACATCGCTACATCACAAGAATATCTTATTTCTTCATTTTCTCGGAAGTAAAATTTTCGCACTTAGACCCTTTGGGAATATAACGCTTCAATTGCAAATCTTGGAGATTCTGATGAAGATATCCTTCAGTTTCTACAAGACGATGATAACCCCGAAATAAATATTGAAGACTTACAAGAACTAGAGGAATTTCTCATCCCTGAAGTTCCTGATAACCCTAACAAAATACAAATAATTTCAGATATCCAAATTGTACCCCCTCAGCCAAGTGATGACAGTATTACAGTCCATACAGCAGTAGAAAACCCCATATTAGAGATACCCTTCACTGAATATGTTACTAACAAATTTTCTAATCAGATAATTATAGAACAGAAATCATCCTATCGATATCATAGTGTAAGGACTAAGCCCTTCGAAAATGTTAATAAGATACAGTTACAGCTTAGCGATAACATAGAGGAAGAAATCATAAAGTTTTTCAAAGACTATGTTGATCCAAACAAAGTATATTGTATTTTTGTCAAAGGTTCAGAAATTGAAGATTTAAATATCCAGATTAGCAAAATACTACCATTGTATTTCAAAAACCACGCATATAAACTTTATTTTTCCAATCAGCTTGTTAGAGATATTTCAGACAAAGACAGACAAAAAGAATTAATCTCTCATCATCATGAAACAAAGACTTGTCACAGAGGAATTAACGAAACGTTACTTTCCCTTAAAAAACTATACTACTGGAAGAATATGTAAAAAATGGTAACAGAATACATAAATAATTGTGAGTTATGTCAAGTAGCAAAGTATGACAGACATCCACCAAAAATAAAATTTTCACTTACACCAACGCCAAAGCAACCCCTAGAAGTCTTACATATGGACACTTTCCTTTCTAACACAAAATTTCTTACTGTTATTGATTCATTTTCAAATATGCACAAGCCTATCATTTAGATCCAGTTTGTACAGCCACAACAGTGTATGAAATATTTTGATATCTGTGAATCATCACGGCATTCCTCAATCAGTTACTACTGATAACGGAAGAGAATTCAATAATTCCTTATTTACTGAATTTTGTAAATTACACAAAATCCAGCTTCACTTTACTACACCATGTAATTCGAATAGCAACAGTCCCATAGAACGATTACATTCAACCCTGCTAGAACTCTTAAGAATTCTAAAAATTAAATTTCCAAAATTATGTCCAAAAGAACTAATGCAAAATGCAATTTTGGCATATAACACGTCAATTCACAGTGTTACAAAACAACGACCATTCGACCTTATAAATGGCCGCTTAGATGTCCTAGATCCATTTGACCTATCAGATGAGATCATTGTTAGCCAATTCATTGATGATAGACGTGAAAGACTAAAATTCATTTACAACAATATACACCAAGCAACAGACGCTCATAAAAAGAATATTATAGAAAAGCGTAATAAAACTAGAGAAGATCCATCCAAATTCCCCCAAGGTTCGAAAGCATATGTCAAAGATAA